TCACTACCAGTAAATGAGGCTATTTAAAAAAAAGTTTTAATTGACAAGATTCAATTCCAAGAGACACAACTCCCAGCCATCACAAGAAATCTTCACAAGATACTCCTGATGCAATGCCCAGGGGTCTCCATCCCAATTCAGTCTCTCTCACTGACACCAGCTGTAGTCAATGTGCAGAGTGAGGATGTTCAAGGGCACACCCACAGTCTTGGAGACTCAAACACACATTTGAGATGCAAGGCCGGCTGCACAAAAGGGGCTGGTGATAGTGGCCATCACAGCCCCTGCAACTGTGGCCAGAGACAGTGAGTGCTGCAGATAGATTCCACCTAATTCAGACATGATCCCATCATTCCATCATGATTCAGACATGATTAAGGACCAATTGTAGGCACTTAGTAAAGGCCAGCTATTTGTCAGGAAACCAGGTAAATGCCACCTGCTAATTGGTGCTGCTGCTCTTAGGGAATTTATATCTAGCAATAAAATTGTATGCAGTTCAATAAGTAAATATAATATGTAAAGTATAAGAAATGAGGCATAATTAATATGTAGTCTCTAAAAGTTATTTTATAATGAATTATATATAGCAAAATAGTTATAATGAATTATGAAGGAATTAAATGTAAACAGAATAAAATTAATTATAGAATTACAATTCTATTTCATATGATTTAATGAGTTAAAAGACAGTTATTTACATCAACATAGTAACTTTAAGAGTAAATATCATGGAAGGAAGCTTGAAAAGGCAACACAGCCTAACCAAACTATATATATTTTTTGGAAAATTTATAATCAATACATTTTAAAATATGACTTTGCTCATGACACCGAAACAAAAAGGTAACTATGTGAGATGATGGATGTGTGATTGTGGTAATCATTTCACAATATACAGTAAATCCTCACTTAACATCATTAATAGGTTCTTGGAAACTATGACTTTAAGTGAAACAATGTATAAACAAATCAATTTTCCCATAGACTAATTAGATATAAACAAGAGTTAGGTTCCTACAGCATATTTATGATCACAAAACATCACCAAACTTGTAAATAAAGACCCAAAACACTTCTAATATTTAAACTGTGAAATAAATGTGAGCTATATGTACATTTAAAAAAGATGAATAAAAACAAGACCATTATTTTCCAACCAGGTTGGTGCCCGTTCAAGGTTATAAACTGAGCATATAAATTTATCTCTTCTCACTCCTCAGACCCCATTAAAATAGGAATCTACCAGTTCAAAGGGGAGGGGTAAGTAGAGAATAGTGAGAAAAACATGAGGGAGTTTATCAACAGATGAACTATTTCAACACAGTTCTAGAAGATGGAAGGCGAGTGGAGGAGTGAAGCAGACTAGGAAAAGACAAAACCCAGAATAAATATGAAGAGGCCGCAGCTCAGGAGGGCGCCATTCTAACCCTTCAGAAGTTGGAAGGGGTTATAGGCTCGGCGATGCCAGGTGTGATGGGCAGCAGCGTTCAGCACAGGGCTGAAAACAGAAGCGTTTATTGAAAAGTCTGCTGCTGATTTCCCCATCCTTACATTCAGAATACACAGCAGCCAGGTGTTACCCTCTAGGCAAAAAAGTAGAAGAAGGGATTTTTTGTGTGTTTTCTAAATAAGTTTAACACACTGTCTAGCATAAACAAAAGAAGTAACTGTTGCTGTTGGAGCACAAGTTAAAAAACATTCTGAGAGCCGGGGTTCCCCAGGGGAATGGCAGAGCTGGGAAGAAGACCTGGGCATGGCTCTGGAAAAAAAAGGTGGTGGACAGAGCTCTATGGGCTTGGTGCCAGAAGGGGAAATGTAATTAGGATCAATACTCATAACGAAGGGCAAACATGAAAAATGACTGTAAGAAACTCCTGCCCGACTACTGTGTGAGGGTGAAGATTATATGAAGTTGTGTATCCCCACTGACTTGGTGACTGAGCCTCTTAGGACCTATTCTATGGTGCAATTCATGTTCTGGAGGTCCCATGGGATCAGGCTGAAGCCAGGCTCTGCTTACATCTTTAGCTTCATCCTTACGTAGCTTTCTTCCCCTGCTCCCAAGAGTACTCCTTCAGTAAATTGCTTGCTAAGGTTCCCTGTCCTGGGCTCTGCTTATCGACAGCCTGACCTAAGTCAGGGAACAAGAGGGAGGCTGGAAGGCAAGGATGAGCTAGCGGACTGCTTCTTCCTTCCTACCTGCTCTTCTGTCCGCACCACCTGGCAATGAGGCCTTATCTTTGTTATGAATTAAATTGTGTCCCTCCCCCCCCCCAAAAAAAAGGTGTCAAAGTTCTAACCCCCAGTACCTATGAATGTGACCTTATGTGAAAATAAGGTCTTTGCAGATGATGGAGTTTTACTGAAGTGGATCTTAATCCACTGTGACTGATGTCCTCATCACAAGAGGAAGTGAAGGCACAGGGACAGGCCTGCACAGAGGGAATAGGAAGTGAAGATAGTGAGAACACCATCTACAAAACAAGGAGCGGAGCCCCTGATGCTACCAGTGTGAGCAGGGAGGCCCAGAACAGATTCTCCCTCATATTCCTCAGAAGAACACAACCCTGCCCACGTTTTGATTTCAGACTGTGGCCTCCAGAGCTGAGAGGGAATACATTCCTGTTGCTTTAACCACCTAGTTTGTGGTGCTTTGTAATGGCCACTGAGGACACACACCCCGACAGTGGCAGTTGTTTCCAGTTTCGAGTTTTCTTCCAGCACTCCCATAATCAACTTGCTTCGCCAGCTTGGGGGTATGCGCACCAGTGGGGCAGCCGCCCCATCTCTTCCGACCCATGAGGGCTCTCCTATCAGCTTCCATTAGCCCTTGTTCCTCAGGGCCCAGGGGTGGGAGCTGCTCCCTGCGGTTACCATTGTACTTCAGCGTTCTCTTTTTGCTTTTTCAGTTTCCCGATACCCATTTAGCCAATTCCTCTGCTTAATTAATTTGCTCCGTGGAAATAGGAAATAGCAGAGTCTCTTTATTCCTGACAAGACCCTTGAGTGATCATTTCATTCATAGTAAAAGCCAAAGTCCACAACATAGCTTACAAGATTCTATGCCAGCCACGCCCCTGGCTCCTTCTTTGCCCTCATTTCTTGTCATTTCCTCTGTCACCCACCCTGCTCCAGCCACATGGGTCCCTTTACTAACCCGTAAACATGCCAAGCATGCTTGCTTCGTGGTCTTTGACTTGCTCCTCCCTGTGCTTGCCAACATCCGAAAGCAAGTGTCCTGTTGCTTCCAGTTTCTGCCCTAATTCCCATGCCCTAGTCTGTGCCCATACCTCTGTCAACACCTTTCCTGACAATGTGCGGTCATGTACTGCTTGACGACCATCAGTTGATGACTGGCCGCACACACAACAGTGGTCCAGTAAGATTATAATAGAGCTGAAAAATTCCTATCACCTAGTGACATCCTAGCCATGGTAATGTCATCATGTCTGTCACAGCGCAAGGTATTAGTCGTGTGTCTGGTGACACTGGTGTACACAACCTATGGCGCTGCCAGGTCATTAAAAGTACAGCATGTACAGTCTGTGCGTCCATGATACTTGATAATGATCAGCGACTATGTTACTTCTTTATGTGTTTCCTATGATATACTATTTATTGTTGTTTTAGAGTGTACTCTTTCTACTTCTACCAGTAAAAAAAAAAAAAGTTTTCTGTGTGATGGTGGCAACAACTTTATTCATCCGGCGTTTATCGCGTCTCTTGATTGCATCGTTTTCTCTTGTGCTTGATTTAAGCTCCTGTTGTTTTGTACAGTGACATGCTGCAGAGGCCTATAGCCTAGGAGCAACAGGCTAGACCATTTAGCCTAGGTGAGTAGTAGGCTATCCCCACTCGGTTTGCATACATGCACTCTATGTACATGCACACAACACGTTTCTCAGAACATATCCCCAGTGGTAACCAGTGTATACCTGTAATAACTACATATAACATTTTTCTCCCAACCCCCGCACTCTCCTTCCCCATGACCTCTTTTCTTTGTAGCACTCATCCCTGGCAGACTGTCTGTTACTTTTCTTCCCCAATAGCACGTGAGCTCCACGAGACAAGTCGTGTTCACTGCTTTGTCCCCAGTGCCCAGAGCAGGGTCTGGCACACGGCAGGTACCAACTTTTGAAAGACAATGAATAACTGGAAGAAAAAATAACGCTACCAGCAGCCCTAATGTTGTGTCACTGTGTTTGAATTACAACCAGTCTCTAATTTTAAAAGATGTATATTTATTCTTTGGTTTTGTTTGCTGCCCTTACTCTGCAGAATCACGCTTGATAGCAATGGCTCCTGAAATTCCTTAGTGATAATGTGTGGTGTGTCTTCCTTTCTGTTTAACAATTTAAAATGTCATGATGCAAATATTTCCTCCATTTCTAAACCTTTAAAAAGTATTACGTCAAACAAGATTGGCCAGTCAGCAGCGTTTATTGGGAGGCTGGCACTGTAGGATGAGACTGAACTAGACTCTTTTCTGGGTTCACCAAAGAAGAAGGAAATGTCATTCCTGTTTTGGTGGAGCTTACCATCTCATGGGTATTCGACTCCCATGTATGAAAAAAATCTGAGTCATCAACGCTGCACAAATGAAAATATAGAACATAAGTGCTGGTTAGATGAGATGCAAGGGCTGAAATGCTATTTGAACTTGAATAATTCCTAGAAATTGAGTAAAAAGCCAGAACTTAAAAATCTATAAGTAGCCGTAACCGGTTTGGCTCAGTGGATAGAGCGTCAGCCTGCGGACTGAAAGGTCCCAGGTTCGACTCTGGTCAAGGGCATGTACCTTGGTTGCGGGCACATCTCCAGTAGGGAGTGTGCAGGAGGCAGCTGATCAATGTTTCTCTCTCATCGATGTTTCTCTCTATCTATCTCCCTTCCTCTCTGTAAAAAAATCAATAAAAATATATATTTTAAAAAAAATCTATGAGTATAGGGTAGGAAAGAAGAAAGGGTACTTGTAAAAGGAAATGACAAATACATGAGTATAACTTTTTATTAGTTACCTAGTCTATAATCCACACTATGAACTTGGCTTGTAGCCTCTCCTTTCTTAGTTATCGAGTGTATTCTGTACTTTCCCTTTAATGTATCACATTCTATTTTGAATTCTAATGCTTCTGTACTCTAAATGGCAGGGTGGAGTCACTTCATAAACTCCTTCTGACTCTTCTCAGGTCTCTGCTGAAATTTCATTTTCACAGAAAGGCTTTTTCCAGTCACTTAATCTGAAATAAGTGTGCCTTGATATTCTCCATCTTGGCATTTTTTTATAACTCTTACCACAAGTCATAATCATAAATTTATGAACCTATCATCTGACTTCCTTACTAGATTATTAACTACCTAGAGGCAGGGTGTTTGTATTTTTTTTCATTACTGTATATAAATTGCTTAGCACAGTCCCTGACACTTAATATATATTTGTAGAAATGGAATGAAATACTGTATATTTCTGTGAAGTCCAGAAATCCATATACAAAACTGATTGCAATAACCCAAATAATTTTATTTTAAACATTTACCAAATTTAGGTTGTGCTAACTTCTGATACATAGAAATATGTATCAACATACTATAAGTGTGTGCATATATAAATATATACATACATAATTCATATACATGGTAATATTTGGACCTTTACCAATTCAATTTCAACTGTGTCAAATATTTCATCTTTTACAATAATCCTAAAATGTTCAAGAGAACCTTTAATCTATCTGAAGTAAGGAATATAATCCTGGCTAGGACTGGTGTATGGGGGTGGGAGGGTCCTAGTTGCTCCTAACCCGTACAGGGCGCCTTGGTGCAAATCAGAAGGAGCCGCATTGCCTGGGCAGACACCATGCACCAGTCCAGTCTGCTTGGTGAGTGGAACTCAGCAGGATGTCAGCTCCCATTGGCTGCCTCAGCCAGGTGCCCTTGTTCATGGCACCGCCTGCATATAGGTGGCAGGCAGTCCTGGATGGGGCTGCTCAGTGCTGGTGTGAGCAGAACATGGAGATCTGGCCATCCCCGTGCAGCTTGCTTTTTAAAAAGACTGATTTAATTTGTCTGGATGATTCTGGCCGGGTAGGGGTCCCTTCTTCTTCTCACCACTTCTGATGATTTAGCTGAAGAAGGCCACTCTTCATGTTCAAGTGTGCAGAAGGCTGTGCAGCCTCCAAGTGGGCTTCAAGGTTTAATCTTAGGAAATAACCAATGTTGATTCTTGATTCCTAGACAATTATGCTGTCAAGCTGACTATAGGTGAACTTTGCAATTTCCCTCTGCAAAATCAAGAATTAGAAGTTAGTTCATGTGTATACCGCTGCTTAGTGACTATATGGAAATTTTATCAGTGGCGCTGAGAATAAGCTCCGCTACTCATCACTGACCCGATGTATTGACCATCGTGATGGTCTCATTTCTGTAACCCTTTCCAAACTCTCTCTTGAAACTTAGGATCATGGGTTATAACAGCTTCATAATTTTTTTAAAACCAAAATTAATTTACCTTTAAGTGTCCTTAGTCTCTAAGTACAACCATAAGGAAGGCCTGTTTTGAAACTACTAAGATGGATTCATCCCTTAGAGCAGTGGTTCTCAACCTTCTGGCCCTTTAAATACAGTTCCTCATGTTGTGACCCAACCATAAATTATTTTCGTTGCTACTTCATAACTGTAATGTTGCTACTATTATGAATCGTAATGTAAATATCTGATAGGCAGGACGGTCTTAGGCGACCCCTGTGAAAGGGTCGTTCGACCGCCAAAGGGGTCGCGACCCACAGGTTGAGAACCACTGCCTTAGAACAAGAGCTCAAACCACTGAAATATAATTTTAGAAATATTTTTATTTTGAAAAAAAGAAAACCCACTAAGCTGATATTTGGGTATAGAGCCTTGGATAGTGGAATACAACCTAGATTAGGCCCCTGGGTCCTGGTTTTTAAACAACCTAATTAGATGCGATTGTGTGATTCAGTCTTGATGGGATTCATCTCCAGATCTATTTGTTAAATAATAGTTTAAAGTCTTTATTACTTTATGCTTTATTTTATATTAGAAATCCCCAAATCAGGGAAAATGTCAGATAAAGCATCTGTGGATCAGAAGACACATTTGGGATCACATGTATACCGGAGTCATGCTGTCCTACAGCCCCTGGGAGAAAGGGTCAGTTTGTTATAGGGGGCCCTAACTGAGCTCAGGACTGGACCAAATATTCCAACAGATTCTTTTCAGAGATTCCAATTGGTTACCGTGTGTGTGTGTGGCGGGCGGAGGGGGGGGGAGGGGGTGGAAGCTCCACTCCTAAATCTGGACCCTGAAGTGAAAGGGCAGAGAAGCCTTATCTAGCCCCAGCACCCACTTTAACTAACAGGAATTAGTTCCATCCGTTATCCATCTCCACCGTCACCAACTTTCATGTTAGTTCGGTGAAATTCATGTCCCAGAAGTGAAGCAAATCCAAATATGGCGAACATTTCCTCCATTGCCAAAATGGGAAAACTGCCTTATCTCCTCTTCAAGATCCCTCTACCAGAAAATCGTCTCCCCTCTTAAACACCCAAGCGGCAGGAAGCACACCTTTTGTGTGCCATGCCTATAATGCCAGCTTGCAGGGATCCTGAAAATGTCAAGCCATCCCTCTTGATAGCATGGAGATCTTTTCAGAAACACTTTCTTCAGGCAGACTCTTAACTGGGGAAAGTTTCGCTTATTTAGGTACACGGGACATATGGGGCGCCCCGCTTCTGGACATCCGCGAACCTGCTGGCAATTCGTCCTTCAGAACTAATGCCTCGGTACTGACACCCCGGGGGAACTCTCCCCGGGGTTTTTTTTTTTTTTTCATTGAAAATGAAGCTGATTCTCGGCCAGTTTCTTCGCCTCTCCTTCACCTGGAGCTGGGGAACCTGCGTGCCTGCGTTCCCGGGGATCGCCAGCGGGGCCTGGCAGAGTTCCAGGGCACAGGTGGGGCCCTCCCGGGGGCGCCCCGGGCCAGCCCGCCCAGGTGGGGCAACCCTCCCGCGGGCGGACTCCGCCGTGCACCCCACTCCACCCCACCTCGCGCGCGCGCTCGTGCCGTTTCGGGAGCGCGCGGGACCTTAGCGAGGATGGGCACCGGTCCCGGGACAGTCTTCAAACCCGTTCAGCCCGGCGGCTCGCAGCACCTGGGTGGCACCGCCTCTCAATCAGACCCCCAGGAAGATCCTTACGGACTCGAGCTTCACGTTGAAAATGACCCGGGAACAGGGGTGTCCGTGCGAGCCAGGAGAGGAAAGGGGCCGGGGCTCCCTCCCACCACCTCCAGCTACTCAGCTCGTCCTCCTCCCGGGGCGAGGGGCGGGCCGGGCCGGGGCCCGGGTGGGGAGGCTCCGAGAGGGGCCCTCCCTTCTCACCTCCCGCGGCCCGCTCCTACTCACTTTCTCTCGGAGCCTCGGCTCGGCCGCCTTAGCCCGGGTCGCGCAGCGGGGCCGCGGTCAGGAGAAAGGAGCCGGCGGGACTCTCGGGGCCGCG